TCAATCTCTTCCTTATATCCCTTCTTATTTCCTTTAACATGAAATCTGTGGGTCAACAACCGGAAGGGATCATCCATGTGGTAAAACTACCAAGGCCTTAATTATATCGTGAAGGGCTACCGGGTCAAGGTTATCTTACTTACTTATGAATACAGTTTCCCCCAAATCACACATTATGTGGTGTTATATACAAAACTAGCTCTAACCAAAACTCTAGGTAGGCCAATAGGGTTAAGTCCCTTAATAGGAATAATGCTATGATACCCTATAAGGTAAGTAGCAACTATAACCCCTAGGATTATTGGTTAATAGCTAAGTACCATATGAATTTTGTATAACCATTAGGTCATTCACTAAGATGAACTCCCGCCATATGATCATACTCATGAGAAAATTTATTTCAGTAACTCATATGTGTAATTCACAATTACCCACATATTCCTCAATTTTCATGCTCAATAAGCATCAAGAATCATCATATCTAAATCATGTCTCATGTATCAATTTTTATGTTACCCATAAATCACATTGGCAACATATAAAAACTCAACATGCTTATACACAATTCATTATCATGTACAATCCACAATTTATAATTAAGAGTATATACATCATCATCAACTTTCAATCTCATTACTCAAATCATGTCACAATTAACTTGATCACAAATTATAAGATCTCAATAAAGCCACGTATACATTACAAACAATAGTTTCAAGATTTAGATACACACACACACACACATGTTCAATTGTTTCACAAACATAAATAATTGATTAATACACAAATGCATAAAATAAATTTTCCCTAGTTACCTCAACCTTTGAGAGGTCAAATGTTACTTCTTAAGTTATAACACTTCTAAAACTTTCTCAAGCTTGAATGGTGCCAAAAAAAAATTAATCTATAATTAATCATATCTCAGTATGTCAATAGTATTATTAACACAATTTTCACTCATATTACAAAACTTAGGTATTTATTTTATTTTATTTCATTTTTTAAGACCTTAGCCTTAGCCTCTTGAGTTTTAAAATTCAATTTTATCTATTTGAACCTATCCACTTGATTCAATAACTTCCTTCACAATAGTTTCATAAAAGTTTGGCTAAAATTATCCTTCAATCAATTTTCTAATATCAAAATTTCCATTTTTTTATTCTAAAATTCACACATAAAAATATTCAAAAATTGCAAACTTGGTCCTAAGGCTATAATCACCATTCTACAGCCATAATAATTTATTTCTCATCTCAAATAATTATCTAAACATTAATAAATTAATTTATACTTTGAGAGTTAACCAAAAATCTACCATAAAGTCTATGATTAATTCAAAGGCCTTAAATTCCAATACAAAATAATATTCTAGAATATTTAATATATTACCAACAACCTCAATAACAATATTTATTCATCCAAAATTCATCCATTTTTCAAACCCTAAATTTTGCATAATTTGAAAATTTGAAACTAAGGAGAAAATATGACTAAGAGAAATATTTAAGATACTTATTTAGTCTTAAAATACTTGAAATCTCATTCAAAAGATTTTATTATAAAACTCCACCTCTTACATCAGTCCCATCATCAGTGTCGAACGCTCTCTCCCCCCCCCTCTCTCTGTTCACGTGCACATAAAGGAAAAGGAAGAAGGGAAAAGGAAAAAGGTTTTGTTGGCTTTTTAAAAAATAATGTGGACCCCACGTCAAAATTCATATCTCTCTCTCTCTCTTTTATTTTCTTTAATTTACACATGCACGGGGTGGGAGAGGGGTCTCTCCACTTTTTTTCCCTCTATTTCTCCCATCCTCACCATTCATTAATTTTATCATTTAAAAAAATTATTTAATAAAATAATTTGAATGGTGGAGATGGGGGAAACGTAGGGAAATTGAGGGAAAAAAAATGGAGAGACCCCTCTCCCTACACGGATTTTGCAATCCATTCCTTCCTTATTTTCTTTTTGGTTTTTTTACACTATTTACACATTAACACACGTGCACAAGCGAAAATTACATCCCCCACCCCTTATTCATTTTTTTAATGTTCCTTTTCCTTCTTGTTCTTGCTTTCTTTTTTTTATAATATTATTATTATTATTTCTATTTTTTTAAAAAAAATCATAACTTAGGATTTGAATTTATTTTGAATTAAATTTAACAATAATCCCTTAATTAAAATTATTTATTCTAAATACTCTTCCAGAATTATTCATTTGCCCTTAATTAACTTAATTAATTTTGGATTAAATTTTTTGGATGTTACATTTTACCCTTAAACTATTTTTTCAAGGAGCAAAAAACTCCCTCGATTAAAGAACCATTAACTTTGCCGTTATATACTGATATGACATGTCTGTGGGGCCCATGCATAGTGACAAATGAGACTTTAACCATGTCCTTTGATGTCAATTTGTTCCTAAACTCTTTTTTCAAAAGTGCTGAGCACCCTAAAGTCTTTTTCTAGGAGCATTGAATACCTTAAAGTCTTATTAAAAAACTAATGAATATTGTCAAAATATTAAATATTTTCATATTTAATAATTTAAATATTATTATTTATAAATATTCATTCAAAATTTATAAATTACTTTTTAAATATTAATAACTCAAATTAGCATTTTAAAAATTTATAGATGACTTCTTATTTTTTTATATTAATCTTCGATCTTCTTTTTGACACAGTACTCAAATCATTATGCTTTTTATACGTGTTGGAACTTATTTATATTTTTAATATTGATTAAGTTCCTTAATTTCTTTGGTCAACAAAACTATTTTCCTCCAAAATATTGCACTATGTAAATTTAATACTCTCTATATATTATATTGTTAGGAGTAAAATCAGAAATATGACAATCAGGACCAACAAATTGACAACTAAAATGTTTATTTGAAATATATCGCTTATTCATTAATGTGCTACCAAAAAGGTTACTTAACAAAAAAAAATGGAGAGATGATTAGAAGAAATCCCTTCATTAATTTGAAGGTTCATTCTCTTCATTTTTAATACAAAATTACAAAATATTAAAAATATTAAAATATTAAATTGGGTGGTGTAATGCTTTAAATAATAATATTTAAATTATTAAATATTAAAAAATTAATATTTTAATAATATTTATTAAATTTTATTTTAACAAAACTTCAAGGTGCTTAGCATTTCTAGAAAAAAATTTTAAGGTGTTTAGCGCTTCTGAAAAAATAATCTAAGAGTAAATTAGCACCAACAGACATAGTCAAAGTCTAACATATTACTATGCGTGAGTCCTACATGCATGCCATGTCAATATATGCACATGTGAGATACATAGGAGACATGTTGGTAATGCTTTTTCTCCTAGCATTTATGCTAATTTTTGTAGCTCACTGGAAATAATTTCTATAGTTCACTAGAAATGATTTCAATATTATTTATCATGAATTTTGTATTGAAATTATATTATTCAAAAGAACATTTCTAAAACATAGAGGAAATTTGAATTTGAGAGAAATTATAAGCTAAACAAGAAATGAGCAAATTTTTTACCCTCGAAGCCTTTCAAAGAGTAGATGAAATTAAAATGTTTTGATGACAAAATATATGCACATTAACCTATGCAATATCAAAATTAAAAAGCACAGTCCTACAAATAAAAATTAATTTTATAATGACTACATATTTTTGAATTTAAGTTTAAAGCATTTATAAAATTTGAAATAAATTATAAAAACACTTCAAACAAATGAAAGCAATCAATTGAATGATGACACTTCAATGTTACTATTATTTTACTGTGCAAGAAACAGTAACAAACATTATAGTTTACAAAAGAAAAAAAAATATAATATATTACTCCTTCCTTCCCAAATTATAAGACACTTTTAAAGAATATTTAACATTTAAAAATATAAAATATTTTGATAAAAATAAAGTTTCATTAATAATAATTTTTCAATATTATCCTTCCCATATATTATTTCTATTCAATATTCTTTTATCAATAAAGTATTAAATAAAGGGTATTTTTAAAAATTTATATTTTGTCTTGAAAAAGTAAAGTTGTTTAATGTATTTAATGAGATTTATTGATATGTAAGATTTTATTTAAAAGTATCTTATAATTTAAAATGGAGGGAGTATAAAATAAGATAAGATAAGATAAGATTTTAATAATTCAAGTTTTATAATTATTAATATAATTATTAATGTTTTTATAGTGTCCTGTTAGTCCATATAATTTCATTTATGAGACTTGACCTATGTCCTATAGTGTCAAATTCACGCTTGTGGCTGGTCGCATTTGTAAAATCGACGATCAGACCAGACATGTTTCAAAATATAGTAATGACAATCTCAGAATTTCCAAGACACCTAATTATAAATTTAATTAAAATATATTTATATAAAATGCAATAGCTTAAACGAATTTTAAATTTTAGTAGGCTAAACTTTTAAAGATAACAACAAAAAGGGGAGAATAACGAATAACGACAGCTTAAATAAAAAATGACATGAAGAATAAAAAATTTGTGAAATATTCCTTCCATTAAAAAATATAAAGTATTTTCTGAAAAATTGAATATTAAAAATTATAAGATATTTTTAATCTTTTGAAGTGTAATTATTATTTTTTTTTTAAGTACCCTTATTAATGAATGATTTTATATTTATTATAGAGTATTTAATAGTAATAAATATAAAAAGATAAGGTTAATTTAAAATTAGATAACTATTTTATTGGAGGTGAGATTATATTAAAAAAATTTATTTTTGCTCTTTTCCATTAGTCCACAGTAATGAACGTTGTTGAAATTTGTGCCTGATTGAAAAAACAAAAAAAAAATTAATCTCTAGAGATTTTGTTAGGAGAAATTATGATGAAGTTTTGCATAAATAATTAATTATTATAAAATTTATTAATAATTAAATATTATTAATAAATTTTACTAGTAATTAATGTTTTGGCGTGAGATTTAATTGTAATTCTCTCTTTTTCTTGTGTAAACCCTATTCTTCAGTGGTGCTGCGCCACCTAGCAAGACGAAGGAACCGATCATGAACTCCAGTATGCAGATTCATATAATTGGGTGTTTAGTTCTTCTGGGTTTGGCATGTGGAGTCTGGGGTGGTAATTATGGCTCTAAGCTTGTGGGTTTCCAGCAATTTACAACTTTGGGGGCTCAAATTCAGAAACTGGAGCCATATCTGCAGCCTTGACGGCGATTCATCCTCCTAATGGCGAAAGCTTCCTTGGAAATCTCAGGACGGGCTTGCGATGGTTGACTTATCATTGATTTTATTAGTGAGCACAAAAGCAGAGCATGCTCTGTTTCTCTTTCACACTCTTGATTCAACATTTTGTTTTGGCCTTTCTTCAACGGCGTCATTCTTTCTGGCTCTTTGCAGCTGAAGAATTGAAGCTGCCGTACTTGAGTGCGTATTTGAACTCACTTGGGTCGAGTTTCAGGCACGGTGCTAACTTTGCAACAGGAGGCTCATCGATTCTTCCTGGCAGTTATAGTCCATTCCGTCTGGGTCTTCAGATTTCTCAATTCAAACAGTTCAAGTATCGCACCAGTGTTCTGTACACTCAACTTTCAGGTTACAGTTTGTTTCTCTTGTATTCTTGGTTTTGATGGTGTGCTAGAAGCATGTGCAAGCTGTAGACATCACGAGGCATTATCAGAATCTAGAAAAGCCTCCAACCAGATTGTTCTCTTTGGACTAAACTTGATTTTGACAATGAGAAATAAAACAACAATATTCCAGGAACAGAACCGGCTGTTAAAAGCAGTCTTCCCACTGTTAAAAGCAGTCTTCCCAGACCTGACGAATTCTCTAAAGCCCTATACACCTTCGATATTGGACAAAACGATCTATATTTTGGTTTTCAACACACTTCAGACGAGCAAGTTCGATCATCTATTCCTAATATCTTAGACTCCTTCTACCAAGCAGTGCTGGTAATCAACATTAGCAATGATGATGAGTAATTAATTGGATGATGATGACTCTGTTCTAAGAACTAATATACTTGTAATGTCTGATGTTTCAGCAACTGTACAACGAAGGGGCTAGAATCTTCTGGATACACAGCACAGGCCCAATTGGGTGCTTGCCTTACAGTGTCATGAATTACAAGTCTAAGCAGGGTAACTTCACTAACCTGGGTTCAAATGGGTGTGTCAAATTTCAGAATGAGATCGCTCAGGAATTTAACACAGCGCTTAAGAAACTGGTGTTTGAGCTCAAGAGAAATCTCCCTCTTGCCAAATTGACATACGTAGATGTGTATTCAGCCAAATACCAATTACTCAACGATGCAAAGAAACAAGGTGATCTCCAAGTTTTGACGCCAAAACCACAGAGTTTAAGACTTGAACTGCATTGAACCTAACTTGTGTAGTTTGCTTCATGGCAGGGTTTGAGAGTCCGTTGTTGTTCTGTTGTGGAAGTTATTATGGTTATCATGTGAATTGTGGGACGCAAGTCATAGTGAATGGGACTGTTTATGGGAATCCCTGCAAGAATCCCTCTCAACATGTTAGCTGGGACGGCATACACTACTCTCAAGCTGCAAATCTTTGGGCATCTAAACGCATTCTCAATGGTTCCTTCTCTGACCCTCCAATTCCAATTGGCAAGGCTTGCTTCTGACTGTCACTAAATTCAATTCATTTGCTGTAGATAGTCACATGTTTTGAGATAAGAGCATTATCTTATTCTTTGTTTTCTTGCTGATCATTCTATAAAAGGAAAAGACAAATGTTCCCTATAGTTATCGAATTTTATTTTTAATCCTTATAATTATTTTTAGTATTTTTGGTTTTCATAAAGGCTAAAAATGCTGAATTATAGGGATCTAAGTAACAAACGTCCTCCAATCTTACTGAAACTATAAAAACTAAAAACGGTGGAAAAAAAACTATAAAAGCTAAAAATAAAATCTGATAAAACTATATGAATGAATGATTATGTTTTTTCTTCCATAACAGAGGTGTTGAGAGTTGTAAGTACACGTAGTTATCTATGTTCTTTTTAGGAAAGCCAATGATGTAGATTTTGAATTGGAATTGTATTGCCGCTATCGCCTTATGGCATGGGTGAAAAGCTTCGACAACAAGAATTCGTTATGTAGACAATACATGGGAATGGGATAGTTAGGTGGAGTTCAGTTCCTTAAAACATATTGTAGATGGTGATATAGGTAGACAATAGTTTAATTTTTAAATTATATTTTGTACATTGATAACTTATTATGCACGTCTATAAATGGTAAAAGAAATAAACTACAATAGTGAGTTTCTTTGTTCCGTGATGACGTCAATATAATATCACTTACACTGGACTTGATCTGTACAGGGTCGCCTTCACGCTTGTCACATTTGTAGTATGGGTTAAATTACATTTGAGCATCAATGTTCTAAACTATTGTCATAACAATTTTATTTTTAAAATAATTAAAATATTACATATTTTTTCTTGACATTGAATATCATAATGTTAATTGTTAAAAATATTAATCGAGATTTAAGTCTAGCAAAAAATGTCACATGTTGTGTCAAGTGAATTTAAAAATATATTATGTTTTAATTACTTTAAAAGTAAAATTGCTATACGACAGATAGTGTAGAATATTACATGTTTTTTTGGAAAATAGTTTAAAGATAAAAATACTGATCAGACTAGGAACGGTTCAAAACATCTCAAATATGACAAGAAACAACTTAATTTTCTAATAGGCCATTTGGTGTCCCTTCAAAGAAAATAAAGTTTGACCATCCGTTTGTTCGCTTGGAAAATTGACATTTCAACAATCATAAATTGAGTAGAAAAGGGAGATATTGAAAGAATGAGAACTCTCCTCTGTTCTATGGAAAATATATTCACAAAAGGTAACTTCTCCAGAGGTCTTCGAGCAATAAAATGATTCACTATTGAGAAACAGAACCTGTTTCAACTTCCCCCCTAAATTTTATTGTTTTATACTTTCAAACAATGATAACACATTGCACACCAACTAATTAATCTGTCGTATATTATATACATGTAAGACTTTAGGTAACCTTAATGCCATTATTTTCTATAATCTGAGAGTTGGCATCAAGGAGAGTTTCAAGGGATCTTCTAGATTTTGTGTTCCGTGCCCTGCCTGCTTCTTTCAACAGCTCAGCCAATCTTCGCTTCTCATCAGCCACGTCAGGATTTGCTGTTCCAAGCTTCTCTTCTCTCATACCAACAACGTATTCCAAAATTCCAATGGCATCATCAACCCTGCAAATCATTAAAAATAACAAACAAGTATTTAGCAATAAGAACCTGAATTCAGAGTATCTTGTTCTCATTTAAAATAAGCAGTATTTAGAAAAAATATGCATACCGATAAAAACCTCATTTTCATAAAAATATATGTTGTTTTCTTTTCTCACTCTTAGTCCCAATTATCAATATACTTTATAATGAGTGAGAGAAAAAGTTATACAATGATTTAAATTGATAAATACAAAGGATAAAATGAAAAAAAAAATTACTTGTATTAAGTTGTTTATATTTTGAACAAAGATTAATTGAGAGAAAATATTTGTATTTTGAATCTGAGGGAGTACAGCCTGAAAAGCCCAAAAAATCAAGGAGGAAAATAATTGAGACTAACAGCACAATGCTCTGAGATAAACCGGTTACTTTTATACCAAAACTACAATGATTAAAGAGTACTTCCTTCAATCCAAAATATAAGGAGCTTTAAATAATAATCTGCACATTAATAAAATCTCCATTCCTATGAAAATATATATTATTTTTTCTTTTTATCCATAGTTCAAATTTATGATGGATGAGAAAAGATCATAAATTCATCAACACAAAAATTTAGGTTAATTAATACAGGGGATAAAATGAAAAAAAAAAATTAACAAATACTAAATTGTTTGTATTGCTAACTAAAATTAACTAGGATAAAATACTTATATTTTGAACAGGGAGTATTTTTTAGGACAAAAAACAAAGTACCTGCCCATTGCATCGTAAGTGCCTGCTAGATTGCTATAAACCCCTAAGGTGTCATGGTGATACGGACCATATTCTTTTTCCAAAATACCTTTGGCCTCCTCAAATAAATCTGCTGCTTCATTTATTGCATAACGCTGCACGCAGGCCAGACCCATTTGGTTTAAAGCAATCCCAAACAAAGCAGATTTCTTCTCTCCACTGGCACGAAACTTGGCAATAGCACTTTTGAAAATGTTATAAGAATCAGAATAGTTTCCCATCATATAATACATTACCCCCATCTGAGCCTCAATTCCAGCAATAGTGCATTGCTGACCCGGCGAGTTTCCGTACATCTTCAAGGCCTTCTTCAGTAACTTCAAACCTTGCTCCACATCATTCATTGACTGATAAATGGCCGCAACATCTATTAAGCCACTTGCAATCTCTTCAGAAGGGAACCCTGGATTTGGCTTCCCGAAAATTCTGAGTGCATTTTCACAATAAGACTTTGATTCCTTGAACTTGCCTATTTTGTTGTATAAGTCAGCTAACCTGACATAAACTGAAGCAACTGTTGGGTGATTCTCTCCTTTGGCTGACTTGAACACCATGAGGGCTTTCTGATAAGCAAAGACTGCCTCATCATAACGTGCCAAAGACAGATAAGCATCACCAATGCTGCAATCAATGGAAGCCACTTCTACTTCCTGACCATTTGCTGCCATGGCCATGCTTGCTAAAACATAATGCTCAAGAGCTGATTCAAAATCACCCTTTGAGTCACAGATAAGCCCCATGAGTCTCCTATCTGCTGCTTCTTCAGGAGAAGCAGGAGAACCATTCCCCCTGTGAATGTCAATTGCTATCTGGCAAAGCTTCTCAGCCTCGTCAAACTGCAGCGCTTGAACATGCGCCTCAGCCACGTAACGACATGTCTCACCAAATCTTGGGTCTGTTTCCCCCAAAACTTGCCTTTGGATTTCTAGACCTGCCGTGTATAAAAGTATTGAATTCTCAATCTGCCCCATAATTGCATAAGTGTCACCCAATTGCATGCATCCTGCAAACTTAGCTAGTGCATGATCTTGGCCATTCTCTAAAACAGGAATATCAATGGATCGTTCAAGAACAGGAATAGCTTCATTGTATTGCCTCAGGTTGCAGTATATTGTTGCCAAGACATGCAAACACATGACCATTTCTAGATTAGGCTTCCCATTTGCACACATCTCAAATGACTTTGCAGCTCGAAGAGCCAAATCAAGAGCCTTCTGGGGATTCTCACCGGCAGAGATCATATCTCTTGTTTGCTTTAGTAAATATGGTCCGAGGTCTGGGTTATCTAGTCCAGCAGCAATACGATCCTCAATCCCATCTTGAAACTTTACGCCAAGCGCACCAAGGTTCCTCTGCTTCCTCATGTTGTAAAATGAACTTGCTTTTCTCTGACTCTTCTCATTCCTCTTGTCTATCGGTGGCTTCTCACGCAAATTTTTGCTTTTAGTTGATTTGGCTGACCCTTCAACAACCCCTGGACTTTCTGATTGGTTCTTATCCATCTTTGTAGACTTCTTACCACTTAACGCAACATCTTTCTCTGGAGTTGAACCAAAAGTACTGCAATTTTCTTTACTCTCAGTGACCACCTCCTTCGTGATCTCTGAATCTGTAATATCTCCAACGAAATGGCGTAATTCGGAATCGATCCTGGATTCCTCCCCATATGAGTAAAAGCTAGCCCTTGAGGGTGATTGATCAGAGCTCTGCATTTCACACACATTGTGATACAGTTGCTCTATGGAGGTACCCACCACCCCATCGATGGTCAGATCAATTGAGTCACTCTGAATACTTCTTGGACTCAATGGACTTCTTGGAGATCCTTGCAGAGCAAAGTTTTCCTTTCGAAGAACATAACGTTCGTCTGCTGTTCCATTCGCATCCAATTCATTCATAGCTAACCCAGGCATCGTACAGTATTACCAGGAACGTACCTAAAACCAAGGAACATGGCTCAGATTCTTCAAATTAGAAAAATGTGAACCTAACAGCGTATTTTCCCTTCACTGACGAAAGGTTAAATCAATTTTTGAATCAATCGCAGCGATAAAATATCATAGAGAACTAAAAGGAATCAAATCTACGTATAAAGTATATAAAATATATCCCACCGGAAGCAGTAAAAAAAAATGAAAAGAAAAAAGAGAAGTGAATCAAACTTTAGCGCGCAGTAAAAAGCAAAAGCAAAAGCAACCATATATTCCATTCCATGCGTGACACGAATTCTTCTCGGAACAGTTTAATACCAACAACACAGAAATATGAAACCCCTATAGAGTGACCTTACGAATAAAGCACTGGTGAAATTTGATCATTCATTGACCAATTTCAGAACAACGCGCGAACCAGTGAGCCAACGATACACAAGCAAGTAATCATAATGAGAAATATGTCAATGAAATAGAAGAAACCAATGCATTGCATTGAAGAATGAGAAACGAAGCAAACAAGGAAGAGATAATTAATGGGCTGCTACCTGTATGTGCAGACTCTATAGCTCTATCGGGTCTGAATGCATTTATATCAGTAGGGGGGGAACGAAGATGAGAAAGAAAAGAAGAGAAGCGTAAAGGAAAGAGAAGAAGAGAGGGGTCATTTTAAACGGCTGATACGCTGTCGTTTTCAACTTCAATTATTTGTTCACTCGTCTATCTATTGGATATCACATCTTAATTCCATACCTTAATAACCCCACACCTTCCAAACCAAGCTATCAGCTACGTAAATTTACTCTCTCTCTCTCTCTCTCCCCCCTCTCCTCTCATGAAGAAGCCACACACACTCTTCATTATTTACTTGCTCTTGTATCTCTCAGTGCTCTGTAGTCTGTACACACACTCCATTAATATGCACATCACCTAATTTTGCCAACTTTTAAATTCCACGAACTACGAAAATAAGGAACTTGTTTGTGCAGGTGCCACTGTTTTATTAGTACTGTAAATCTATAATATCAATTATATCCAAATAAATCCAAAAAATCTCAGGCTTAAAAGTTTATAAGATTTTATTTACTTTAGGTTTATTTAAACTGTCCAAATAAATTCAAAAAAATCCAATTCAAACCTGAACGACTTAACCTTGAATCCTCAAATTCTTTTTATTACTAATAAAATAATATTAAAATGAGATAAAAATTAAAAATTTATTTTTTTAAAATCAAAACTTGAAATTAGAAAAAAAAATAAGATAAGATAAAATAATATTTAACTATTCAAATATTTTAAACTAATTTAAATAACTCAAAAGCTTGAGGTGTTATGACTATAATACTTAGTTATATATATTAGCTTTTCTTATATATATTTTAGTATTTTAAGCCTGCAAAGGAAAAAAAAACTATATCATCTGATCTAATTAATAATACCATATATTTTTATTCGTTAAAATTGATTAATGTTATTAAAAATATTTTTGATTAATTTTTTTCCCTTAAAACTATCCTCATTCAGCGAAAGTCATCATTGAATTAACATCCATCTACTACTTACCAAAAAAAAAAAAAAAACATTTTACAATAAGAGTTAAACGTATGAAATTTTCAGACATAGTCCTCAAATCACAAAATAGGATGGAACAAGCAAAAATCAAATGGAAACAATTAAAAGAAAAGAAAAAAGAAAAAACAGAACGGTACTGAGAAGAAAACAGTGGGTTTTGGGTCGCAAATAAGGAAACAGAACAAGAAAACACTCACCGGAGGCGAAGATGTGAATCTCACAAGAGAACTCTCTTACTCAACGTGCATCCGAGGAAAGGAAGGAGATGAAACGTCAATAGCTCTATCGACCTCGTAACTTCGTATGCATTTATACCAGTAGGAGGGGAAGGAAGAGAAGAAGGAAAAGCGGTGAGGTAGGCGAGGGGCAGAATGGGAATATTTGGGATAAAATTTTATTGGGAAAGCGAATGCGGGTGTGATAGGTTGCAGAGAGTAGGAAAGTTGAAGCAAGCCAAGACGACGACGACGACGACGACGACCTCTCTCCCACTCTATTCCCTTCAACCGCTTTATTTTTCATTTTAATTATTAATTAATTAATTAATAATGCATCCTTCATTTATTTTCCTTTTTTAAATTTCTCAAGGTGCTTGGGAAATTCAGTTGCAGTTAAAACGTAGTAATAGAGATGGGGTGACGTTGACGGCTTTTCGACGCGAAAACAGCAGCTGGCAATGCTCCCATGACGGAGCCATCTGTTGATGGAGGTGAAAGCTCAAAACAAATCCGCCACGTGGCAACAGATATTGAGTGGAACGAAACGATTGGTTGTGTTTCGTGTGCACGTGGATCACGTCCAGCTCCAATGGGATTTTTTTCCCTTTATCCGAGGAAATCATCTTCAGTGCCATGCTAATCACCCATATAATATCGACCAGATCATTTAATTTGAATAGTTTAAATTTAAATTTTTTTATATTTATAAAATAAAAAATTATAAAAACTTTCAAAGTTTAGATTTAATTTGAATTTTTCAAATTTAACGTTAAAATTTTTTATAATTTTATAAATTTATCATCCAAATTTATTTTAAGTAGTTCAAATTTAAGAATTTAACTTACAAATTTTATTAAAGCACCAGTTAGGATATTATTTTTATTATTATTATTCTATTATTAAAATAAAAGCTATAAAAAATTAATATTAAATCTAAATAGTTCACGATATATTTGGATGGTCATTTTATAAAAAAAATGTAATATTAAATAAGATTATCCACAATAAATTTGCACTATACCAATTGATAATAATCTATTTATTAAAAATCATAAAATAAAAATTAAAGAAAATAGAATGTTTAAATCTTTATTACAATGAGAAGCACTGAGGACCGAAGGAGGACCCTTGTCCTAGCGTCCCGTCGTAGGATCCATGTCATGTCCGGCCGGCGGGCCCCCGCCCCGGGCCCACCCTCTAAAGTTATATTCCCTTAATAATTCACTCATGCTGCTGTAAACAAAAGAGAATAATTATTAATTTAACATGCCTTTTATAAAAATCATCATGCCCTCGTTGATTGATTGCAAAGATCCCAATACAAAATCTAAGGTTGTTACTTATTACAGTCTGTAAAATGTCAACAAATTAAATTAACTATATATTATTTTTGTTTCCTGGACCTTTATGATTTGACTCCCGAGTGGACTTTGGTGCTGCTACTAGAATCGCTAAATCAAGTCTGCTCTGCCAAATTTGTCAGAAGACGTGTCAGTAGGTTTGCTAAGGTTGTTGAAAAATACGAACTCAATGCAAACATAATATGAAAAATCCAGAATTTATCAATTTATATATATGAAATCAATTAATGGGAAGCGCGAATTAAGAAAAGCAAGTTGGGAAAGAGTGTTTTGGGTACACAAGATCAAGCAAAGAATAACCTAACGACATCTATAATGCATTTGCTCCCTAACTCCACGCAAGACAAAAATTAACACGTGCCTTAATTGGAACAAACACCCAGCATGGGATATATATATGTATATATATATGAGTAGATTATTTGTTATATTTAAAAAAATGTTCGGGTAGAGTCAAAGCAAGCAAAGCTGGGCAGATCAATGATTATGTTGGAAGTGGAAACATTAATTTGGTGATCTGGACTTGTAACCTTATGCCATTAAATAAAGGGCAGAAAATAATAAAATATTTTTAAATTATGTAAATGATATTTTAGTATTTCAAAATGTCATATTTTTTTTTAAATTTTTAAAAACTTTTTTGTTATTAAAAAATTAATGCAAATGATCAAACTTACTTTAATTCAAATTTGTGAATTACTGTTAAATTGTTGTGATGTTAAGAAAAAAAAGTTGTACATCTTAAAATAAAAATTTTAAATGATAATTAATATTTGTAACACTTAAGAAATATTAGAACTTTAAATGTGAATTTGTATATCCCTGTTAAATTCTTGTAATTTTAAAAAGAAAAATAAATTTTAAAAAAAATTGCAAATGGCAATTAATATTTAAATTAAGAGTAATTTAATCATTTATAATGATCTGCAAGATATTATGATATTTTAAAAGGTTAAATATCATTTACATAATTCAAAAAGATTTTATTATTATTTTTTCTTTAATAAATATGTGTACAAGTTTTGAATTGTTGTGATCATATTGGTGTGTTATGTTATGTACGTGTAGCCATATTATATTATATTTGTTGACATTGGTCCCTCATCTGGTTGTTGATGAGGACAAGGAGATTACACATCAAGAACCTTCGGTCCCAATATTTTTTTAATTTTTTAATATTATATAAATGTTACATATTCTTATAGTATATTTTTTATAATATTATTATATAATTTTATGAAATTTTTGTAGTATATTTTTTTATTCTTAACCTCGCTTATTATAAAGAAAAAATAATAATTAAAAATCTTATAAGAATATTAATTACAGTTACAAACCTTGAATATAATTATTGAAATCATAATAGTAGACCATAGTCCATGGTTACAATAAAGTATCTTTTGTTAGTTGATTTGAGATTTATAACTAATTTTTATAAATTTTTAACTAACGCTACAAAGATTCTCAAATATTTTTTGTTAGTTTTTTAAGTGATTTATCAATATGTTGATAAAAAAAAATCATAAGTGATTGGTTTATAATTTATAATTAATTTTTATAAATTTTTAATTGATGTTACAAATAATTTTATGTCTATTTTGTAGATTTTTCAAATAATTTATGTATTTATTGATAGCAAAAAATCATAAATTAACTTGCAATTCACAATTGACTCTTGTAATAAATTTTCTACTAATGTGACAAATAATTTTAAGTGTATTTTATTATCTTTCTTAGCAGTTTATATGTATATTGACAGAAAAAAAGTTAAGATTTGACTCTCATAAATTATTAATTGACATTACAAATAACCACAACTATATTTTATTAATTTTTTAATTGATTATTTATATTTTTTTAATTACAAGTAAGGATTATGATTTATTATTGAAATTAATATTCTTTTTGGAAATTCCTAATTATCATTTTTTCTATTATTAAATCCTGGCTTTGTCCCGTGGGACCTTCCTGTCCGTATATAGAATTCACAGTATAACAGATAATTGAACGAAACAACGCACAGGCCTTGGGTGAATTTCATCACAATTTGTCATCTGAAAGAAAACATTAAGATGAGCATGTACGAGAACTTGGTGAGGCAATTTGGCATGAAAAACAGAGAAAACAGAAGATTTATATATTCATGGGATGTTGATTTTTGGGTTATAATAATTGAAAGTTGAAACTTGCTAAGATATATTACTTATTAAGATTTACTGTGTTGATATTTTTAAGGTATATCCCAATACTCCTCTCAGTTTGTAACCGTTTGGTTGCTTGAATATGAAAAATAAGACTCAAGATATCGTAACAAAGCTTCAAGGGATCGAAGAAGAAAGGAATAAGATCATGGAAATTAAAGAGTGGATCTTTGTTGGGATTGAAGAAAGTAAAAAAGAGCCGAGTCTGCGTTGATGTTTGGGAACGAAGAAAGGAGATGAATGTGGCACGTGTGGAGAAATGAAGGAAGATGAGAAAGAAAGGGAAGCGTAAAAGAATAAGAAGAGAGGGGTCATTTTAAGGACTGATACGCTGTCCTCTTCAACTTTGATTGTATTACTGTTCTATTTATAAAATAGAGGAAGAAAAAATTAATTCTATGTATAAGATATTTGTTAATTTTTAATATTTTTTTTATATTTTTACACTTATTAAATAATATTTTGAATAAAAATATTAATAATAAGATTTAAGAATATTTATTAAAAATAAAAGTAAAAATTTATTAAATTTTAAGATAAAGTTAATAAAATTTAAATTTTTTAATTTTCATAAAATATATTAAAAATAATTTATAAATAGAATCATAAGAAATATATTCATTCACTCGTGCATCACTTGGGTATCACGTCATTCACTTGGGTATTCCTTTTTTTTTTTTCACTCTTCCACGCATCTTAATTTCGTGCTCCCTCCAATCTTGGCGCCTTCTATAAAATAATTTTTGTTCCTTAATTTATACATGGCACTTGATATGTATTAATTACGTTGTTTTTAATATTAACCCAAGTTAAATTCATTAACTATATATGAGAGAGAATTGAATGCAAATTTAGAAATTTTTTATTTAAATAGAAGTAAAATTGGATATGTATAATTTTTAAGGTTAAAGAATATTTTTACCTTTCAACTATTTGTACAAGAAATTTTAATATCCTAAACTTAAATATGATATAATTTTTCTCTTTAACTTTTGAAAATAATGCATTGATTATCTTATCGTTAAAAAAAATAATTTTCAGTATTATTTCACTTAAAAATTGAAGAAAATGACTTTAAAAATTACTGGAATTAATCCGAATAATTACAAATAAATACCTTATATATAAATTAATACCAATTAAATTTTTTAAATTATATATAAATATCAGAATACAAATATTATTTTTTATCCATGAAAAACATCAAAATGCAATTTTGACCAACCAATTTAACTAGCTACTGAGTAATTAAAGTATTCCAATTGGTGGCAAAAATACAAGTTAATAATTTAAAAATATCATATCTGTTTTAATAATATCACATTAAATTATTAAAATTTTAATATATAATAATGTAAATATTATTATTATTATTTACAAATCTTCACATACAATTAGAAGTTAATTTCTGAAATTTACACATCCTCTAAAAATTTACTGTTAACCTCTAGAAGTTCATGTTATTTCATCACATTTTCCTTAGATTCTAATTCATTTTAGTTCAATTGTATATGTTTTTATTGCCCAAATTAGGAAAATGTGCATTTTATTTTGGGTTTGTATTCTTAGCTTTGATTTGATATTTTTAGTCTAATT